AAACTTTGACACGATGCCCAGGAGGAAGTTGATATAATTCGTTCAAAGTTGTACGTCCTCGAGTCTTGCGCGTTCTAGCATTTTCAACTATATAAGAAATTATTAAATGTCAGTTTTAAAAATGAACAAAGTAGTAAATAAAGTTTCGAAGACTACCTTGGATTTCTACTTCTTCTTCTTCAACAGTTTCAGAAACTTCGGAAGACTCAGGTGCATTCGATTCCTTATTATTTCTTTCTTCATGATCTTCAGTAGCTCGAACAACCCACAAATCAATTATTTTTCTCCTCGGCATGATATCTGTAATAAACAAACATGTGTAATAAAAAAACTAATTAATTTATTAATATATTAGAAGATTTATAATGTTAAAGGTTATAACATTATAAATAAATAAATGAAGATATAAACTCGTACGAGATTCTTATGTAATGTCAGTTGTCATAAATATCTTCATCAACGTCCTCTCGAGCCCATTGAAATTGTGTTGTATTTATGATAGTTTCATCTAAGTTTTGTGGTAGTAGAGGTAAACATTCTTATCTTGTTTCAATTTCATCTCTACTTCCATCTCCGATGTCTATCACGTCTCTGGGAGTATTTCAGTGCACAACATATCAACCGTCATCCATTGGATCGTGAAAATAAAATACTTGTTTCACTTGAGAAGAAAATATATATGGTTCATCCATCAAATGTTGACCCGTAATTTATCTCTTTTTATGCATCTATTTACATCAACCCAGTCACACCGAAACAACACAACCTTTCGTTTTCCATAATAATCTAACTCAATAATGTCCGCAAGATTTCCATAATAATCGACCTCTCCCTCCTTCGGATTATTGTCCCTGGCAGTAGCATAACTTGTAGTTGACGAAGTAACTACGACTCCATAATTTTGTGTCCTCCTTAATCTTTCACGAGATTTCATGTGGAACCTGAACCCATTAATGGGGAAGGCATTATATCTTTTAACTATTCTATTCGGACCTTGAGAAAGCCATTTAACATCTTCACTAACTTCTCTCCCACTCCAAACCTATTACACATGAATGATGAATTAATTTGCATTGATGATATAAAAAGCAATGCATATATTATTTATATGTATTTCGTAAGATTTAGTTGTTTACCGTCTGGCCTAACCATTCATGAAACGTTTCTGTGAATAACTTATGTAGCTCTCGATGATTTAATCTTTGGGAGCGTGCATGGGATCTCAAGACTTCTTTAAACTCACTATAAAGTATATTATGTCGTTAAAAATTGATATATATAAAATATTAAGAGATTTCATATAGCTTGGGTCCGAAAGACTTACGTGCGAAAGGGATCTATTGAATCGTGATGGAAAATAACATATCGGTGTGCTTGAACCCAAGACGTGTCATCTAAGTGTGCAATTTCAACTTTCCCTAATGGTTGACCATAGCTTCCAAACAAATAATGTTGAGGTAAGTCATCCGTACTTAACACATCATTTCGATTTGGTCTATTCCATCTTGTTTCAACATCTTCCAAATATCTAGAGCAAAATGTCATATATTCCTCTGCCAAATACCCTTCAGCAATTGATCCTTCCGGATAACGCTTATTACGACAATAAGACTTCAACTAACACAAGAACCTATACACAAAACAACATACTATGTAAATACATTTTATTAAAATGTATAATCAGTAGTAATTTGAAACGTATAATTCAATTAACACCTCTCTATAGGGTACATCCATCGATAGAAAACTGGTCCACCAACTCTTGCTTCGTGTGGAAGATGAATTAGTAGATGCACCATAATTGTGAAGAATGAAGACGAAAATATCTTCTCCAAGTTGTATAAAGTCAAGGCGACTCGATCTTGTAGTTTATCAAGTTCTTTAACCATTAGAACTTTCCCACAGATGGCTTTCATTATATTAGAAAGTTCAATGATAGAAGACGTCACCTTACTCGACATGCAACCGCGAACAGCTACTGGCAGTAAATCTTGCATTAATATGTGATAATCATGTGACTTTAAACCATAAAGTCTTCGATCTTTAACACTGACACATCGAGAAATGTTTGATGCAAACCTATCTGGGACCTTTATATCCTTCAACACCGTGCAAAATACTTCTTTTTATTTCTACGAAAGAGAAAAAATAGAAGCCGGCAAGAAAGATCTCCCATTCGGATGTAATTGCGGATAAAGATCATATCGAATTCCCATCTCCACTAAGTCAAGTTGACTCTTAAGATTATCTTTACATTTTCTGGCATCATTCAGAATGGTCCTGATAATATTCTCACAAACATTCTTCTCAATATGCATTACATCAAGATTATGTCTCAAAATCTATTTTTTCCAATAAGGCAACTCGAAGAATATACTCCTCTTTTTCCACAAGTCTACCTCATTTGGATCATCCTCTTCATCAGACTCATCATCAGTTTGTTCGTCAACTTCAACCTCTTCATTGAATTGCTTTGCCTTTTTCTTTGATCTTGTACTACTTGGTTGATTCATCTTTCCATAAGTAAAATTTATATTTTTCAACATTCTGAATATTTCAGAGCCGATTGTTTGCTCAGGAGCATTTCGAAACTCTTCATCACCACCAAACATATTCTTTTGACATCTAAATCTATGATTATCAGGTAACCACCGACGATGTCCCATATAAGAGAACTTCTTTCCATTAACCAACCACTTCGAACATGTTTGTGCAGCACAACAAGGACAAGCATAACGACCTTTGATACTCTAACCAGATAAATTTGTATAGGCAGGAAAATCATTAATTGTCCATAATAAAGTCGTGCGTAAATTAAAGTTCTCCTTCTTCAACACATCGTACGTTTCGACCCATTCCAATAACTGTTTCAACTCTACAATTAGCTACTGCATGTAAATATCAATATCATTTCCGGTACTTTTCTCGCCAGGGATTATCATGGATAAGATGAAAGATGATTGTTTCATGCAAATTCAAGGAGGCAAATTGTATGGAACAAGTACAACAGGTCAAGTACTATACGAAGTACTCATGATTTTAAATAGATTAAACCCGTCAATTGCAAGACCGAGACTGGCATTTTCGAGAATCTCTCGTAAAACTTGGATACTTATTGTCAAATGACTTCCAAGCTAAAGAATCTGTAGGATGCCGTAATAATCCATCATCGGTTCTTCCATCCTGATGCCACCTCATATACTCAGCAGTCTTGGAGGACATAAACAATCTTTGTAACCTAGGTATGAGAGGAAAATATCGGAGAATCTTGACCGGTTTCTTTCTTGATGGTACTTGAGCTTCATCCTCAATAACATTTTCTGCCTCCCTACTCATCCATCGAGATTTTCCGCATACATGACAAGACTCCTGATATTTTCGATCACCCCAATACAACATACAATCATTCGGAAAACTATGAATTTTGTCATATCCAAGACCCAAATCTTTTATCATTTTCTTCATATCTTTACATGATTGAGGGATTTTTCCAAAATGAAACACTTCTCCTAGTAACTCCAACAATTGCATAAAAGAGTTCCCAGTCCACCCTCCCAGGCATTTTAAGTGGAAAAATGAATGCAGAAAGAAAGCTTTGAAAACTTTGATCCGTCATAAAGGTGTTCATTCATTTCATTCAGCAACTTGTAAAACTTTGTTGCTTCTCCATTTGGCTCTTCATCGCATCCAATTCTTCTCATCTCAGTGGAATCATTAACATCATTCTGGCAATAATTTTCTGTAACATACGACTGACTATTGTGCATATTAAATGCATCTCGTAACATTCCTTCCATGTCATCTTCTGTAAAAGTTGGATGGTGAGAATGAGCAGGATAAATCGAATAACTCGTCGAAGCAGATCTATCTGATACAAACTCTCCATGAAAAATCCATTTTGTATACCCCCGAACAAATTTAAAAACAACTAGATGCTCGTACACAACTTCACGAATGTGCCAATTAATGTTAACACATTTCTTACAAGGGCAAAGAATCATATTCTCTTGGCTTGCATTCAGAAAAGCTAAATTTAGAAAGTTTTGGACCCCATTTCGATATTCGACGTTGACCCTTGAGAAATCCATCCAAATCTTATCCATTTCGTATTTTTGGAGTTTCAATTTGAAATGTTAAATGCTAAAAATTATAAGGAGAAATATATACAACTGCATACTATAGGTGTATTAGGAATATTGGAACATTCATAAGATCAAACGCCGCTAAATTTTGTACAAACGCCGAAATAGCAAGAAAACTTGGATACTATTTATAACAATTGATTAATGTTTCTATTTACAAGTACCATGTAGGGAAAATATTACTCACAGTAAAAGCACTTAAGGTATAAAATTCCCTCATTAAGCTAGGTGTACTGATTTATAATGGCCACAAAATTTTGTCTTTGTCAGACATTTGACAAGACATAATTTCTAGAAATTTTAGCCTCACAAAGCAATCAAAGTAAAAAATAATAGTATGGTGGGAACAGTTAATACATTGCAAATGGCCTAATTGAACTGTAAGAAAAAATCAACCAAAAAGGAAAAGAGAAGCAGAACAAATATCGGGGCTGCAAAATCCCTTATACCCATAAATAAACACAGAACTCTCCTAAAAGAGACTCAAATTCCATGATCTTGTCTCCAAACTAAAATTAATCCCATGTAATCTTAATCATCTGAATAAAGGATTCTTACAATTTTTTTTATCTGAATACGTCCCATTTGATGGAAACCTGGAGGTTTAGCTGGACATTAGAGTGTAATAATGATGGAAAGCAATTTTTTTGAATTGGTAAGATTTATGACATTTACATGGAAGGCGAATTCCATCAAGATATTATACCGAAGACTAATACACAGTTCTTTTCTTGTTTCCAAAGTTTAGGTGTTTTCACATTTAATTTCAAGAACAAACCTCAAGGATTGGTAAACAAAAAATATACAGAAGAATAATTCTGGGTAAACCATTAGGATAGAAGTGTATTTTGTCCAGATTCTATAAGCTTGAATGTTTGTGATAGGCAAGCACAGCCATGAACTTCCTATTTCGAAGCAAGGCACGTGGTCAAGCACAACAGTAAAAGAACTGTGTGTTACATACCTAAGGTTGATATCTTGGATGGGGATTGAACAAAATCAAGCAAATGAATCGACTCAATCCGACATCTAATTCCAAAAAAAAAAAAAGCAAACTACATCTTACATCCAGATCTAATTGGCGTTGACAGTCTTTGAGAAATCTACTTCTCTCGCTCAAAAAATATATTGCTGTCTGCCCGGAGAAGTCCCAAACCCGTAACTGTGAATTAGAGAAACTTAGATTGTGATCCCTTTTAAACAGTACATATAAAAAACTTCAGTAATGATATAAAAAGTTACCTGCTCAGAATCTATACTAAAGATTTTGCAAGCTCTTCTGAAAAGTTCTGCAGTATTGTCCTGTAAAGAGTGAAACTTAATGTAAGCACAAAGAACCAAGGCATGCGGTTCATAAATACGAAATCTTGAGAAATTGAACCAATTAAGAAATTAATAAGCGACGCATCATGTGAGTGCAGTACAGGGGAGAAATCTACAAACCATATCATGATTATATTAATGCTTTAATTGTGACAACATTTAAAGTCCTAAGACACAAGCAAATTCTTATGAATTGTGCATTCCATCTACATACAATTCATTCATATGTCAATCACTGAGTCATTTGACAACAACAAAGGACTCAAATCAGAATTCCGCATGTAATCCAGGTAATGGATAGATGATAAAAATAACAATGGTTCAATTTCAATATGACTAATTACTTCAGGAACTATGCTTTTATGTAAAGCCTTTCAGAATGATACATGAACATGCACCTTTCCTATAAGCTACCACGCTCTTTTTCGATTTTAAAATAATCATATTAATTGTTAGAAATGTTAATAATTAGAAAATAAATACACAAGAGAATGTGGGAATGTCAAAGGCTTTCTATTCTGGCAAATTAGACATTATAATATATATTGCCAGACTAGTATGATGCACTTTCTAAGACCAAAAGAGGAATAATTGGTTGATTAGATGAACTTACTTTTTTGCTAATTTTTACTCCCAATGAATTTGTTTCCCGTGGAATAGTAAGTCTTAACTGCAAGGGATACACATCTAACATGTCATCTTCAGCAGCGGAAAAACCTTTTCCGCATTTTGCTGCTACTTTAACATCACTGTGCCTACTTGGAACAGCAAAAGTAGAACTTGAGAGATATAAAAGGCACTTTTAGTTTCTAAGGTCTGGTATCACCGATAACTCAAACATGATAAGTGAATTCCAGGAATCGCATTTTAGAAATTGAAAACTCTCTTTTTGTTCTAAAACTCATACAATCAAGTGCCAAATACCAGATGTGTAAAAAAAAGGGAACTCACCAGAGGTGGATCGGGTCTGAAGAGAAACCTCAAGCTAAATCATCACCAAGAGAATTAAAGAGAAACAAAAGAGGTGTCTTAGGGTTTAGTCGTTGAAGAGAGAAGAGAGAAGAGAGAAGGGAGAAGAAGAAGAAGAGATACCGTTTTGATTTTGGTCTAATTTGGGGAGAGGTTAGAATTTCAACAATTTCAATTTTTTATATATTATATTTTCTTTATTTATTTCTTGATTAGCAGTTGACAGATTGGAGCGGTGGTCTCCAAACGGCACCGGTTCAGTTACCGATGTTTTTTTTTTTTTGATTAAAAATTAGGGTTAAGTACCTCAATGATCACCGATTATAGGGTAATATTTTATTAAGTTTTATGACTATTAAAAGTTATTAAATTATCTTCTTATTATAAAATGTTATTTTAATAAGTCCCTCGACTATTAAAAGTTACAAAATGGTCACCTGACTATTTATTGTATTTTAATCTCGTTCTTTTCTGTCAAAAAATTGACGATATTCTCTATTTAATGTTAACCTATTGATTGTGATATGATAAAATATAATCCTAGAATCTCAAACGACTATCATATTTCAGCCATCATGTTAACATTCAGCTTAGATAACCACCAATTTTTTTAATGAAAATGACGAGTTTGGATTTGGGATTTTAGTTGTTTACCGAAGATTGTTGGAAGCGACGACGTTGGAGGAGAAAGATGTTAGGCGCAGTGAAGGAGAACAGTGAATTAATCTATGGATACTGTAATCGACGGGAGAGAAAGGAAAATCGTGATGGAAAAATGGCTAGGGCGAATGTTGAATTAAAACGAACTTTGTGGCATTTATCAATACAAACGCCACAGAAGGGTAACCAATTGCAGCGTTTCTAATTATAAAAGCAACTAATGTTAAAAAATCTGCGGCGTTTTTTTCCAAAACGCCACTAATGTACGAATAATTTGCGGCGTTTGTTACTAAAACGCCGCTATATGTGAACCATATTACGGTGTTTTTGTCAAAACGACGCTAAAGTACTAATTTGTTGCAGCGTTTATTAAAAAACGCCCCTATATGTCTAAAGTTAATGACGTTTAAATAAAAACATCTGCGGCGTTTTTTTTTGTAAAAACGTTACTAATGATTTTAATAATTTACGGCGTTTGTTACTAAAACGCCGCTATATGTGAACCATATTGCGACGTTTTTGTCAAAACGCCACTAAAGTACTAATTTGTTGCGCCGTTTATTAAAAAACGCCCCTATATGTCTAAAGTTAATGACGTTTAAATAAAAAACATCTACGGCGTTTTTGTCAAAATGCTACTAATGATTTTAATAATTTGCAGCGTTTGTTACCAAAACGCCACTATATGTTAACCCTCTTGCGGCATTTTTGTCAAAACGCCGCTGTAGTACTAATCTGTTATAACATTTATTAAAACACGCCGTTATATGTCTAAAGTTAACGGCATTTAAATAAAAAACATTTGCGGCGTTTTTTGACAAAACGACACTAAATTACGAATTATTTGCGGCGTTTGTTTCCAAAATGCTGCTATATGTGAACCCTATTGCAGCATATTTTACAAAAAAACGCCGCGAAAGTATTATTCTATTGTGGCGTTTATTAAAAAACGCCGCTATATACAAACTATAGATGAACCTATAGCGGCGTTTCTTGATACAAACGCTGCTAAATATATTGATTTATATAAGATTAACATTTTTTAAATATTTAATTTATGCTCTACATAACATAAATTTACTATCTTATAGTTTAACCTAATTACCAACATCTATACATTTCAATTAAGCCATAAGTTATGCATAAATATACTTAACAACAAAATACATTAAAATTTAGAAACATTAAAGTTATGCATAAATAGTCTTCATCATATTGTTCACTAGAATATATTTATTTCTCTTACTCAAGGAAACACCTGCTCCTTTTTTTCTCCAATATGTTAGCTTTCAGGGGTTTCCCCATTTTCAGAATACCCACAAAAATAAAAATGAAAAATATCATTAATGATAAGAGGGATCAAACCTTGCAGTTGTGTTATAGTTCGTCGATTTGGTCGTCGGGACATTCAAAAGACAACGTCGCTTGGAATCGTGCTCAGCCTATTGTTGTACCAGGGAAGAATGTTTGAGGGACGAAGAGTTGAATGATTTTAGGGTTTAGGTAAAAGTAAAATAAGGACCATATATTTAACATTTTGCGGCGTTTGTTGTTAAAATGCCACTATATGTCCACTATATTACAGCGTTTGTACATAAAACGCCACTAAAAATAACCATATTGCGGCATTTATCAAAACACGTCGCTCTATTAATACTCAATAGCGGCGTTTTTATACAAACGACGCTAAATCTCTAATCTTTTGTGGCGTTTTTTGATAAAACGCCACTAAAAATAACTCTATACCGGCGTTTGTGCCATTAACGCCGCTAAATTACCACTCTATTGCGACGTTTTTGTAAAAACGCCACTATTTATCATTTTGCGACGTTTAGCTAAACGTCGCTATATTTCAAAATATTGTGGCATTTACTCTCCAAACGCCGCTACATAGCACTTTTGCTGTAGTGTTTCTTTCTGGTTTCTGCCATTTACAATTTACCTACAAAGCTACAGCAGGCTGCCATCGTTCAACGCCTCCGTGCCCTACACCATTCGTTCCTTGTTCTCATTTTAAATCAATCACCGTTTATTTACCTGCCATCGCCATCAGTTTTTCGCCCATTTCTACTATACTATAATTCAATAACACGCTTCGTTTGGAATTTGAACCATGGCGGGGATCAAAGAAGGAGGGACATTATCGAAAGTCTATCAGAGCGCCAGGAAGCTACTTTTTCGAGCAAGGGACGAGATCGAACGGTTGGAAAGGTTTGAGAGCTCCGCCTCCGGGGCAGATTCATCTGAATTCTCCTTTGCCGTTAAAAAAGATGTCTCTCAGATCCACTCCCTATGCGCCGATATGGATCTCCTCTGGCGTTCCATCCCCGCCAAATCCCAATGCGATCTCTGGAAAAGGTATCACCGTGAAAACGACTAACATTTAATATCACATTTCTCACTTGTTTATGAATATTCTAGTTTTTCTTGCTATTTGCTTCCTTGCATTTCTCCGTATTTGATTTATGTAGTATCAGCAGATATTATAATTGTGGGAATGAAACTAGTTTTCTGTGCGCGTGTTGTTTTCTTCATGTGAATAATATTATGCCTGTTAAGCATGGTATATTTGTATTAACGCTTTCATTTTTGTAGATAAATAATCGCTATGATTTTCCTCTTCAGTTTGATCTTGATAGAGAAAATGGGAAGTATTTGTCGCCTGATGCGGATAGGAGTGTTCGCAACCTTTACACTCTTCACATGTATTATCATAGAATTTTATGTAATTCACATCACTAATACTTTTGATCCGTCCCTAACCAAGGCAAGTTGGTAGTAGTACATTGTACAAGTTGTTTCCCAGCTTTACTACATTGCTGAAAAGAAAACAATGTCCTGTTTTGTCTTACAGTGTTTTAGTTCATAGTGGAGGCGTACATGGTGGACATTACTATGCTTTTATCAGGCCGAACCTTTCTTACCAATGGTGAGCAACTTTCTTGTATTGATGGTTGACTTATTTGATCACAATCTCATGTTCTTCTCCGTGTTTCTACTTTTTCATGAATTATAAGAAGGTTCCTAAAGAAAAATGTGATTGTCATGAAATATGTTTCCTCAACAGCTACTTTTAGTATTTTAATTTTCCTGTTTAACATGAAATTGCTCCATTTTCATGCACATTGAAATAAAAACATTATCATACTCTAGAGTTGTTTGAGAAATTGATGTTGTTTTTGAGATTTACGTTTAATATACATGAATGGTTTGTGGTGTTTAGCTCAAGAACGTCTCAGTTGATCAAATTAGTATTATCTTCTGATGATACATCTTTTAGAGTTTTTTAGTTTTCATTGTGCATCTCATTATATTATATATAATCACATCCGAAGATATTTTGGCCTTTTGTGTACTTTCCAATTTTAAAATTGAAAAGATGTCATTTTGGGGGAAACCCATTTATTATTCTCTCTGTTTTGTCAGGTATAAGTTTGATGATGAAGGGGTAACAAAAGAAGATATGAAAAGGGCATTGGAAGAGCAGTATGGTGGTGAGGAAGAGGTAATGTTTCTTTGTTCTACTTTAAAAACCTGGCTATTTGTGTACATTATGTAAATTTATTTGAATTTGTTTCCTTGATCTGTTGATTCAATAGTTGCCACAGACCAATCCTGGCTTCAATAACACACATTTCAAATTTACAAAATACTCAAATGCCTACATGCTTGTCTATATACGTGAAAGTGATAAAGAGAAAATAATTTGCGATGTTGATGAGAAGGACATTGCTGAAGACTTGAAGGCAATATCTCCATTTACTTGTAACTGATGTGAAACCTCTGCTTTATGCTCTTTCTTCCATTAACTTTTTTGATCGAGTGTAATGTATTTAATTTCTAATTTCTCAGATAAGGTTAAAGAAAGAACAGGAAAATGAAGAAGACATAAGGAGATATACAGCACGGGCTCACCTTTATACTACTATAAAGGTATCTATGTATCTATCTATTATAATTGAAGTTTTGGCTTTTTAAGCTACTTCTGCTTTTCATTCTCACATTTTGTATGCCATTAATGCATTTAGGTTGCAAGAGATGAAGATCTTCTAGAACAGATTGAAAAGGACATATATTTTGATCTTATGGATCATGACAAAGTTAAGAGTTTCCGTATTCAGAAGCAGACACCTTAAGGTACCGTTTATAACTATTAATTTATTGTGTGCATTTCTTGTATTTAAAATGCAATCCAATAAAATCTTATCTAATTACTGTGGTTGGTGAGTGATGACATTGCTATCTATTCTTTTGGAATCAATGCGTAATATCGTGTTTCTGATTGTCTAACGGCATATATCCTTCTAGAACAGATGAAAGGACATATATTTTGATCTTATGGATCATGACAAAGTTAAGAGTTTTCCGTATTCAGAAGCAGAACACTTAAGGTACGTTTATAACTATTAATTTATTGTGTGCATTTCTTGTATTTAAAATGCAATCCAATAAAATCTTATCTAATTACTGTGGTTGGT